GAGAAGAGGAGGAGATTCCATGGCAAGCAGTACCTGATATCTTACTCTGGGTAAGAGAAGCTGCGGCGGGAGCCAGGGACAAACCAGTGTCCATCCTGAGCCTATAGTCTGTGCCTGTCCATAACGCTGATCTTCAGGGTCTAGCACTCAGGACAATAAATCCATTAGGCTGAACATTAACCATTTACATTTTATTTATTTAGTCAACGTGTCGATCCAAAGCAAAATACATTTGAGAGAGCAGGGTCATCCAGTCCCTGGAAGAATAAGGGATTAAGGGTCTCACTCATGGACCCAATGGTGAAATCACTCTGCCAATCTGGGAATCTGAACCCCTGACCTTCTGAACACTGGCACAGTGTCCTAACCTAAGACTGTACAGCAAGTTCTACTGAAAGAAGGAGAACAGCACTAAAAAGCCTTAATCAGCGCAGATTGTTCGACATCAATCATGTCAAACTCCCAGTCAACATGAGTGTCGGTCTTAGGATGCTTTCTGGGACTGAGCACTGAGGTGGAAAGCATCTGAGGTGGCAGGAATGGACACGCTTAGTGCACCAGATTTAATCTCGGGCTCCCTCGACCTTCTCCTACTTCAGGTGGACAGCAGATTCATCCCACCTACTAGGGCGACTATAGGCAGAACCTCACTTGCCCTGTTCATGCCAATTCTGTCACATTCCCTGCTGCTATATATACCACCACGTTCAGAAAAAGGTTTGTTTCATTCAGCTCAGAGGCATTTGTCCCATTTCCAAGTGATCTGCTTAGCACGACCTAGGAGGAGTTTTTGAAGAAATGTTCCACTTGTCTACCATGTCTAAATCAACCACTTTGTCTCCTTTGGTCCAAAGCTGCTGTCCACCCACCTCTTTATGGAAATTACTGCAACACAGAACATTCCGAGGCCACTTGCGTCCTGTGATGACGAAAGCACAATATTTCCATTTTCCCACAGCCCATTCCTCAGAGGCTTTGCTAGTGCCAGAGTGGAACGCAGATATCACACAGTCATCTTTTTGCTATAGACATTATCTTGTTCACTCGAGCAACTTCCTGCATGTCCCCACGCATGTGGCGTGACGTTTAAGTCTGCAACATTTGATTGCTTGGCTTTCGACAGCCGTGCCGGGCTGTCCGAATAGCCGAACCTGGAGGGCCGCCAAAACTCCTGCAGCCTACCGCTATGTTGCGACATGCAGCGGCACATCACACCCTAACCCCAGTGACTCAGGGTGACAGCAGCCAAGTAGGTGCATTTCCCACACTTTGGCGTCTTCCCCTGAACTCTGACACAAAACGAATAAAGCAGCAAAAAAATTTTATAAACACCTTGAGGTTTCTGCTGCAGAGGACTCTGACCTGTATTCTGTTCCTCTTTCAGAGGAAATCTGAGGTCACCATTGTGGTATAAGGAGAAGCCAAGTGTAGATTCAGGTCTAATCCAAAAACCTGATCACTATTTAAAGTCTAGTTAGTGATGTTGAACAGGACAGTAAATATTTTTCATAAAGCAGAGTGGGGCTAGGAGTTCAATCAGCTTATACGATTGTGTTACAAGCTTCAAAATGTGTTAGAATGAGTAAACAATCATACTAAATGGGACTTCAGCCAAGGAAAAACCCTCCTGAATAAAGCCAGAAATCGTATAATGTTGCTGACAGGTGGAAAAAACGTTGAGCACATGGGAGGTGAAAACATGATTCTTCTGAGATGGAGCATCCACTGCGTGCCACGAGGTTGTCTGGCTCAGCTCTACCACTGAGCTGGAAGATCTGCTGGGTGTGTCAAACAAGTTTAACCATATTTCCAGTTATTGGCAGTGGTCACATTAACGGCAAACCTTCTGGACAAGGATGGGCAGGTCCATCGCTGGCTACATACCAATGAGGAACATCAGTGGCATGAAAGGTAGAATCCATCACCGCCCATCTGCTTTCATTTCTCCCACTGAGCAGACAACATGTTTGCTTGGTTTGCTTAAAAAACAGTTGAAGGTTCAAAGTCTAGGGCAGGTTTTGGCAAGGAACTGAAATGGGTCAAAGTGCACAACCAAGGGTCCCATTGCATGAAATGACTGCTGAATGGTAGATGGGCTGTACAGCAGAGGACGTGATGGAAACCAGTAAGAGTAAGGAGTGCAGCTGGGCTCTCGGACTCCCGAGAATCCCCAGGGAGACACAAGGCCAGTCAAACCCACCTGGACTATTTATTCACCAAAGCTTTCCAAGTCAATCCCACTGCTCGGTACTCCTGAGCACCGCTCAGAATTATTTTCCGAGTTGAAGCCTGACATTCTTAGGCTTGAATATTCTCAGGACAAACCACGAAAGGGAGGGGGGCACAAAGCTAGGGCTACTTTGTCCTTTCTGAGGCACTCATTATCCCCATGATGTCACCCGCACAGACTGCTAACTCAGCACATACCTAAGCACAATACACAGCGGCCGCGTCGGACCCCTTATGTACGCGTTCTTGCCTTTTCCGGGCCCAATCAAAGGTCACCGTTAGCCCCGCGTCTCGTAAATCCGGCAGACGCTGAAAAGATGAGAAGCGTGTGACGACTGCATAGACAGGGTAAGTCTGGATAAACCAGGAGCCCAGAGTCCATTCCTCAGGAGTGCTCTTCTACTGCCAGTATTCATAAGACATAAAGCATGATGTCAGGGTGGGGGGGCTCTCCTTCCATGACTTATTTCTCTGAAATTCTATTGAAAACATTACTGAATGTTAAAAAACCCACAAATCCTTCCCCACTGCACCCCCCCTGTGCTCCCCGCTCGTGCACGTCAGCATGCACGCTTTGTCTTCCTCGCGATCACTTTGAAAATAAATGAATTTCGCCCGATACCAATGCGAATTCATGAATAACATTAAAACCATCTGTCGCGCATCCTGAATGGAGGACCTCAAATGGCCGAGGAACGACAAAGAGGTCGAGGCGTTTTGAAGCCCGGCTTAGTCTGGAGCCCACCACCCCACCCCCTCCCCCCAAAAAAAACAAGTACGCTACTCATGTCAAGGTCTACGTCTGTTTTTGTGCCGTGACCGTTCATCCTGTCTGGAGATGTCCGCGAAAAAAAAAAAAAAGAAATTCAACCTCAGAAGAGATAAACATGTAATGACTGTTTGGCCATGGACCTAGATTCTCAGACGCAAACAAAAATGCATAAAGGGAGTAAATCGAAAGATGCAGGAAAATTCACTCCTTCAAGATGAAAGTCAACCTCAATGTCTCTTTTGGAATTTCCAATGGCTGTTTGTGGTTTGAGTTGCACTCACCCACATTCCCCCGTTCAAGTAAGTTTCCCGCAAGGCTAAATGATGGAGTGACACACAGCCCCCACCCCTGGCATGAAGAAACCGATTCCAGGAAGAGTGCGCAAACACGGGAAGATGACTTGAATTTCCTGCGTGTTAGTCTATTACTGACACACTACTACATGAATTACAAGCCGTCACGAAGGGGTTTGATTATGGGGGGGTCATTCTTTAGATTATATGCACAAATCATGAGGGCTTTAGAACGTCTGATGTCATTGCTGATCTCAGCACAGCCTCATAAGAATGCAAGTTTGGATGGGGTGTGCTCTACATCTGAAAATAGATGCAGCAGGAGAGACAAGCCTTTTATTAATCCAAAAATAATGCAACGCTGGACTGTAAATGCTTAAAATATTTAGGTTTACAAAGCCCAGCACGGGGGTTGTAATTAATGCATCCATTACGTCCGTCTGTCAAATCTGCCTGACCAGAAAACTCAGTGTAGATGCTGAGCATCCCAGAGGGGGCATGCAGGATCTGGACTGGGTAGAGGAGACGTATGCTGGTCAGCTTGGAAGCTGTGGAAGCCAGTGGGCACAGCGGCCGGCATCGAGGCAGGAGCCACGTGGCAAATGGGTGGCATCCTACCAGCCCCATGTCCTGTGCATTTATAGACCACACTATAAGCTCCATAGTTATACGCTATAGATAATACGCTGTAAATTACAACAGCTTAAGATTTTCAGCGCCGCCCCCCTCCCTTTCTCCAGGTAGGTCCAACTCTGTAAACTGAAGCCTTTGGACAAACTAAGGGTGCAAACCACAGAGGTTAAGAATAACACAATACAGCCTCAATAGAATGGCTACAATACAATACCTCAGGTGCACTTTCAGGTGTAACACGATTTGATGCAATCTGATATGCATGATCCGGTTCAAAAGGGAGAGAAAAATTAGGAAACATCCTAAAATAAACCAACTTAATCCAGGGGACTGGAATAATTTACAAGGCCACAAAAACCACAGAATGCACTTTGAAGTCACAGACTGAAGTGTCCATCTACACTGCTTAGGAGGGTGGACTGATAGACAGATCGACAGAAGAATGAACGGGAGTCCCAGTCAAAATCAGATGACCCGTCAGCTCAGAAGGTTTTTTTTGGCAGCTGATCTTTACCAATATAAAAAACACGTTTTGTATATTAAATTTTAGTCGGAGAGTAACTAAGGAGTGCAGCTTGTTTAGGTTTGACCTAAACAAGAGACAATGTTCCGGCTGTGACAAACAGTCGCACATGGAGACCAAGCGCCCAGCAAAAGATGGACAACTTCTTTAAACCCACATAAATGTATATACACTTCTCTTTTCCTGTTGTCATCTCTTTGGGATTTTACATTATCTGCTTTTCTGGGGTGCCACCTCAGCTGCCTTATGAACCCCAACCCCTAAAAAACTAAATTTAAATACTGGCATCATCTTCACTTTACCTACAGTATATATGGCTCTCCCATCATCTCCACATGAGGGTTTTCTCTAAATTAGAAACTTTTAAATCTTCTTAATGTGTTGATTGAAAGGTCATGACTGTCCCTCATTTAAACTGGGTAATAAGGCGAAGCGAGAGAGAAACGTGAACAGTGTGCAGGGACATGATGCACTTTAATCTCATGCATGCGATAAAACACATTTAAGAGATTCATAACGAACCCAAATGGGCGAAATAAGGCTGTCAGACCTGCTTGAAATCCGCCAGGAAGGTAATGAGGGTGCCGTCGCCTTGCTTGAACTCCAGCGTGACGGAATCCTGCTCGCCGTCCGCCTCCAGCGTCTCCTCGGCGATGTGCCCGTCAGACAAGCGGACCCGGACCCTCAACTCGGCGGCCGCCCCCAGGGACGCAACCAGCGCCACCAACAGGACAGTCCGAACCGAACCGGGCCGGTCGCGCCGCGAAAACATTCCGGAAGAAGCGAAACCGGACCCAGATTGGGGAAAGGGGGGGGAGGGAGAAAACGATAACTTAATGTGTTGAAAAAAAGGGGGTGGGGGTGCAGCCGTCCCGGAGGCGCATCAAGCACGAAGCTTCCACAAAGTCAGCGCACGGCCCCCGTCGCTGTGTGGCATCCGCCTAAAAGGACCATGCTACCGAAGTTCTTTAAATGCCCTCCGGCATGAGACGAAGCGCGATACTTTGGCGTGTTTCAGCCCCGGCGTCGCGCTGTCACCGCCGCTTCACCGCGAAGGCGTCGCTCTCTCTGCCTCCATATGGGGATACCAGCCCGGCCACTTGTTTCTCTTTCGCACCGCTCGCGACACACGTTGTTGTCACACGTTTGCTGATTTTCTCTTATAAAAATAAAAATAAAAAAACCTGCCCCCCCTTCTGACTTTCTCATTCGGTCCCGTCACTTCCTTCAGAACCCTAATTGTAACTCGGTTACTCGCCCGACTCCCAGAGTTTTACGGGCGGCGGGGCTCTTAAAGGAGTATCGCTCGGGCCGAATCCCCTCCCATTCCACCTCCACCCGCTCCATTCACGGTCCTGTTCCATGGAGCCGGAGAATATCATAATATCACTGTAGTACTGTAAGCTTTACCCATTTCCGACCAATAGTAATCACACGACTGATTAAATATCAATCCCATTCCTTAAATAGACGAGTATATATAATACTTAGATATACTGTCGGTTTGTGCTTCGTGTTGTTTTTGAGCACATCGGCGTGCTAAGTTAAGGATAACACGATCTGTCTCAGTTCTACCAAAAACCAATTAACACACCTGTTGTCAGTATAAATCTGTGACACGTATTGCTTTTACTGTTTCATCTAAATGTTTCAATTCCAAATGAATTAATATTTATAAACTGCAAAATAATTTAATTACTTGAAGCAGGAAGACATTTACGCGGTTCATGCAAAATTCAACTTTTTTCCCCACATTCAAGTCATGCAGACAGATTCAGCTTTTTCTTATTCAGAAACTTCAGCCAGTATTCACTCAAGTTAAAGTTTAATGCAAGAACATTAATTATATCCACACTCACGTACACCCTTGCGTAACTTAATCTTGGATTAAGATACAGCAGGTCCTCAAAATATACCATGCCTAGTGGCCTTACACTTGATGCGTATTTTATATTAATCAGTTGATTCTCTTTGTTCCTTGCACCACATAAACATACAGGTGTCCATTGAAGTAATTGTGTTTTAGAATCCTAAAAAAAAATGAAAGCATCCTCTTTTTCACATTCAGGAGCTATGTTGCACGTTGATGTAAAATGCATTTAAATAGTGATACAAAAGCTGTGTTGTTAACTAAAAAGTTTTTTTTTAGACTTGTTTCTACTGGGAATACTGGGATTTTTTATCAAGTGGAAATGATAATGTCTGGTTTCAATAACATGCTTGCATCATACCTTGTCATGTTGTTTTTCTCTAGGGACAGCGATGCATGCTGGGTAATTGCAGACTCCTGAAACGGCCCGATTGCCCCCGGCATGGCCAAGTGGTCAGAGGGCCTCCCAAACAGAAGAGTAAACACTGTCTTTGAACCTGCGCAAACACTACCAGCTGTGTGCTGTGTGCAGCAGAGTGTTGACAGTAAACTGCAGGAGAGAACCTGTCCGTCATACTGGCCAGACACCCAGGTGGTCTGGTGACCCCTGCAAGACTTCTGGTGTAGCTGAACACATGGTGGCTAAAGCAAGGCTCTCTGATTTGCTGTTCCATCGCTGAATGGCTTTGCAAAATTGCATCTGTTCAGCTGGTCACTTTTGAAAATGTATATTGAATGTGTCTGTTTCGCTGGTTTTCAAATCTCACAGGTATGATAAATAACCACTGTAAATACCACTGTGGTAATGTATATTTGACGAATACGGGTGTTTCCACCTCAATGTGTCAGCAGGGGTGGACAGTAAGGTGAGGGTAGGCAGACACCTGGAGCCCCCGAAAACTTGCAGACAGAATTTCCAGAAGTTACATTTATGGATATAAGATAGCTGCATATCTGTTATTTGCATTTTTAATGACAGTTTTCACAATAAATAAAATTGTCCCCTCTCCTGCCTGTAATGGACTATTCCTACTCTGAAGCTTAACGCTACCCAGATTCCAGGTTGTAGACCTAATTGCTAGCTGCTTATTCAGGGGTTAGCACTGCCATGCAAACAAAGTAGTCTAACAGCAGAAGAAAATGGCATGAAGATACAACACCACTCCTGTGTCTCTGCTAGAGAGGTAGACAAATTGAAAAACCGTAGAGAGAACACAATTAACTGAACGTATGCAAAAATGTAAGACTAACCTTAGGTGAGGAGTAAGGCATAGGTTGTCCTAGGCTACAGCGTAGGGCCATGCCAGAAGACGGAACGGTTACATTTCTCAAATTTGGCTTATTGATCCACCAGTGCAATACCCCTCCCCCCAATCAGCAGATTTTACCAACAGCATCCCCGCCCCCTCCCTGATCGGTTAGTTTTACCGCTGGTATCCTGCACTTTGATTAGCATGTTATTGAAGATCCATCTTTTTAAATTCCCTCTCGTGTCTCTTTTGGTTCCAAAAATTGGCTTAAATGGCTGCCTTCAGGGGCGCCCTACCCATGTCAGCCTGGGGCTCCCAGAGCAGTTAGTCTGCCCTTATGTGTTGTGGGGGGGGGGCAAAGTTGAGGTTTAGAGGGTGGAACGTCCACTGTCTTGAAGTGGAGCTTCCAGAAGGTTCATCTGGAGTTAGACATGTTCCTGAAGTATGGGGCTGTGTGGGTGATCAAGGTTTTGTGTCCCACCCTTGGAGAACAGAGCAAAGGCCTGGGGGGGGGGGGGTAGTGCCATGCGCGCCTGTAACCAGCTGCAGTAAACAGAGAAAGACACAAAATTCAAATAATGGAATCCAATAAGCCAGTCTCTCACTCCACCCCCTCAACCAGGCTTGGAGTTATAAGGTCTTTTTTTTGGAGGGGGGGACCCCAATGAGACAAAGCTTGCAAGTCAGTCGCCCACTGTGCACAGGGGTACAGATACAGGTCATGTGCTTCTTCCAGGAATGGCCTGGAGGCGGGGGGGGGGGGGGCGGAATGAGAAAGCAACTCTGGCCTTCTTGGGCATTAAAGGTGCAGCTCCCATTCCTGGACACTCCGGCCCCTGGCTCCGCTGCACCCCGCTGCGCTGCGGTTGCGTGCTGCGCTGCGGTTGCGTGCGTGGCTGCACATGCATGCTTGGCTTACACTCCGATCTTGAGCCCGTGAATGAATTCCTGCGAGCCCCCAGCAGGGACGCCACGCTTACCATGCAACGCTGCCGCTGCGGCGTGATGCGCATGAAAAAAATGGACAGTTGTGTTTGAGTGTGATATGCTGCCTATGGAGCCATGCACCTTGTGAACACTATTTGTTTTCTCCAGCTGGGGGGTTGACTTCACTGATTTCCTGTTTTCAGTGATTTATATAGCAACCACCAGCATACATATTGAATTTATACTCTTCTGCCTGTAGGACATATAGGAACATGTATGGATAATGGAGGATTTGTGTGTTCAGGCGACGCAAAAGGCCTCATTATTCAGTTTCATTCTTCTGTTTTCACAGGATTCTTTGCACTAGACAGCATTAACATGTTTATGTCTTGCAGATTATTAGCAAAGTGTCTAAGGCATAATGTGCTGTTCCGTGCAGATCTTTCTGTTTAGTGTTCAAGGGCGATCTGGTGCAGTGTTTTCATTCCTTATCTTTGGACTGTGGAACTTAGAACTACAGTTCCTCGCTCACATGTGATCTGTCAAAGTCAAATAATGAGTCATAACACAGTTATAGGAAAGTCATAACAAAGATTTGCGATCATGACCAGCTTTCACATTTTTCATTAGCTTCTTGGGAGTAAAAGACAATGACAGCTTCATAATAGAATGTTCCAGTTTGTAACTGGGCTGTAAGGTGTTTGCTGTAAATTAGGAATGATCCCAATGAATTGCCAAGTGACAGGTCTGAAACATCTCGTAATGTTTATGACAAAATATATCCCCCTAATCACACCTCACCAGGAGGGTATTCCACAAAGCAGGATTTTTTCATTAGCCGGATAACTTAAGCCAAATGTAAGAATTGACCAATAGGAATGTGACATCTCTCTTTCTATTGGACAGTTTTCACATTATCTAAGCTAACTGGGAAATTTTGCTTTGTGGAATACCACCCTGTTGCTGCAAGGTCCAGTTCAAATGCTCACTGTCTAAATATTTACCCAGAAACCAGCCAATCAGATCTGCCTTTGAACTTCACACCTGAGCTCTGTTCAGTGGAAGCGGTGCATCACTCGTCGTATTTAGACTTGCCTGCTGCCATTCATCAGAAAGAGGCGGAAAAACAAATCATTAGACAACAACGAGTAACATGAGACGGTCCATGTGTGACCTCTTTTAATCATTGTGTCGGCTCAGCTTCTCATCAATTTAAAATATGTCCCCTTAATGTTTCAGGTAATCCTTGTTCTGCCTTAGAGGTTTCCAACCAGTACTGGTCTGTGGCCCATATTCCACATGCATATTCCAAATGCGTAGGGTTTCCGGAGGTGTTGGTTAATTTATAACAATGAACAATATATTTTCAAATTTTTACAACCCTACGCATTTGCACGTTCTATTCACATCTGAAAAAAATGGAAATGGTTAACTTTTGAAATTGCCAGTCAATTCACCAGAACTGGCCTTTTTACCAGTATGTAATTTTTTTGCATAACAAACAAAAGAAGGTTTGCTTACAGTTGTGACTATTTTTACAATCATAATAATTGTACATGTTTATCTATTGTAAATAATAGAAACACAATTCTTTTGAAAATTTGCAAAAAATAATTTTAATGCTATGCATAATGAAAAGGATTGATAGTTATCCGTCAACTGAGTGAGTTATGGAAATTTGCTCCCAATTACTGACTGTCGCTGCCTGCTGTCTCGACATAAAGCTTGAGTTTCAGGTACATATCTGCAACCATCTCATCGGTGATACTTGCGATTCCGCAGACCTAGTGAGCCATACTTAAGGGCACGAGTTCAAAAATGAAAGAAGAAAAAGGAGAGAAACTATATAGGAGTGAAGACTGTAGGGCTGACTTGAGGTCTCAGGTGCTTAGCTAAGCGTACTTCTGTGCAATTATGGCTATTTTAGCGCTTTGAATACGTCGTCGCGGTTTGCGTGTGAAGGCACGTGGGCGTAGTCTCAGACCACGGAAATCGGGAGATTCTCTGTGCTTCAGCCCAGATCACATTACAGTGGCACATTCTCCTTGCGTACAATGAAATTTGAAAGTTACTATAAGTAGGGCAAGTGCAAGCTGGCCTGGGGAAATTCACCCCCTCCCCTATTCTCTCCTCAACAGCGTTAAATAAATCTCACGCCTCTAAGTCATTCAAAACTCCTGTAACAAATTTGTAACATGCTACTTATTGAGAGATAAATTTTACAGACG